AGAGAAATAGTGTAGTGTATTGTAGAGAAATAATGCAGTGCGGTTGGGTGTTTCAAAGACTGACGCTCATGACAAGCGGGAGTTTGAAGAAGGTAGGAGGCAATAAATGTCAAGTGACCACAACTGTCCATCGCCACCGGTTTGGTATTCGAATAGAGCGACTAGAGTTCCGTTGGTTCTGGAACAGAGCAGGACTGCTTAGTCTGTTATTTCATACTGAGCATCATTTTCACTGTTCGAACAACGTTGTGCGCGCTCGGGATACAAACCTCCTCTAGCTTCTGCGCATATGGCATCGGAATGTCTGCTCCGGTTACCCGAAAAACTGCCGCATCCAGATAGCCGAACACTTTCGACTCATTAACTCGTGCGCATATTTCGGCGCCAATCCCGCAAGTTGGCCAGCCTGCTTCCACAGTGACCAAGTGATGTGTCTTCATCACTGAGTTGAAAATTGTTACGTCGTCCAGTGGTCGAAGTGAGTGTAGATTTATGACTTCCGCATTTATGCCCACTTTCTTTAACTCTTCTGCGGCCGTCAAAGAAACCCCAACTGATATCGAGTAAGCCACTAAGGTAATGTCAGTGCCCTCGCGTTCAATTTTCGCTTTCCCGATCGTAATCAGAAAGTCGGCCGACATCGCCTCATCTGAAACGTCGAAACTTTGCCCATACAGAATTTCGCTTTCCAGGTTAACAACTGGATCCGAGTCACGAATGGCAGATTTCAGAAGCCCACGGGCATCTTCAGAGCTATAAGGAGCTAATACTTTCAGGCCCGGACAACCGGCGTACCACGACGCGTAATCCCGAGTGTGCTGCGCTGCCACACCGGGAGCTGCACCATTTGGACCGCGAAAGACTATAGGAACAGAAATTTTGCCAGCAGACATAAAATGCGTTTTTGCAGCGGAATTGATTATGTGATCGATACCTTGCATGGCGAAGTTAAAGGTCATAAATTCACATATGGGTTTTAGGCCAGCCAGCGCGGCGCCAACAGCGATGCCTGTGAATCCCATCTCGGTGATGGGCGTGTCAATAACGCGTCCATCACCAAACGTTTTAAAGGGACCCCTGGTGACCTTGTAGGCGCCATCGAATTGAGCAACCTCCTCTCCAAGTATGATGACATCCTTATCGCGTTCCATTTCTTCACGAATGGCATTGTTCAAAGCATCGCGAACCGCCAACTTCGCAACAAGGTGCGATGCCGAAATACTTATTGGTCGTTGGTGGCATTTAATGGCGAAATGCTTAGCAACAGGAACAAATGAGCGAACAGCATACATAAGTAGTCAGTTACGTGAACAATCGGCTGAGCGACGTTCTAACGTTAAGCCGGGGCGAACGGAGCGTCGGATCCGCTAGTCGCGATCAATTCGGTTCAATTGGGTCGACTTCACTGGGCTCATCGGCATCCATTCGGCTTGAAGCTTCGGTCGATGGTACAATACAGGTGGAAGTTGTAAGTAAGGCTGACGAGGCGACAGAAGGCTGTGGGAGATGAGAGCCTGAATTAGGAGAGGAACACGGTTCATTAGGAGTATTGTAGGTTGTCTGACTCAGTCCGGTTTCTTGACTGTAAGACGCGCTGATTGAACTATCGGATACACTGGCTGTCCGGGTTTTGGTAATAGAGTGAGCACTTTTACAGTTTCCTGAGGTGCATAAATGCTGTGTATCGAGAAGGGCGGTGTTTGAGAAGGGAAGCATGGGAAGCTGCACAGGTGGCCCACTCAAAAAGGCACCGTATGTTGAGAAAGTTGTTGACAGTATGGGTTGCTTCACTAGATTCTTTGCATCATCAGCTGACATAACTTGGTGATATTGCAAATGCAATATGGCCATTTCACAAGCCTCAATTTTGGCTTCCTCAGGAGTGGCATAATATCGTGGAGATTGATATTGCAGTCGCAGATTAGGCAGGTAAACTTGTCCGATATATAGCTGAAATTTGTTGCCAGTCAAGGTATCCACAAAATCTGTTGGCAGGACTGTGAAGTTGGGTGTGCCCCAACCCACATTTCGACTTAGTTCTTCAAGAAGTTCCACTGGATGTTTCCGATCTCTCTGAATTCCAGCACTGCGGCTTCCAGCAGCATTTCGTCGGCCATTACGCGCACCGTTCAGCCGTGAACCCCCAGGGCTTCCAATATTCATAGTAGCTCCCGAGGATGATGGCAACGTTGGATTCATGGGTAAAATATCCGGAGAGATTGCTGCGTGCTGTCCCATATGGGAGAGCATAAAAGGGATGGAGGGATTCGAGCTTGTCCTGGGGTCAATCAGCAGAGGGTTATTCGACCGGAGCTCTTTACCCAAATCAAGTTCGCCGAAAAGTTTGTTTGTTGTGTGAAAAGACTGCTGCCGAATGTTAGCTTCGCTCTTGTCCACTGGTTTGGCACAGCTCACTTCAATTTTTGAACCATCAATTGTGGTATCGTTGAGAAGGTTAAGACAAATTTCGGCCTGCTCTCTCTCCTTAAAGTGAATAAATGCGTAATCGGTTATCTTCTTCACACGCTCGATGCAATTCGGGTCGCCCCCGGCAGCCTTGACAAAGTGTTCACCTAGTGACTCTTCGGTAGTGGAAAGCATAAGATTTCGTACGTAGAGAATCTTCACTTTGGACATAATGTCTTCATTGACCTCCCTTTCCGGTTCGGCCCAGTCTACTGCAATCTGTTGCTTCCACAGCTGGATGCGTCCCGGGATAAGCTTCCGGCGAGCCATCGCAGCTGCTTTGTGGCTTTCGTACTCCACGAACGCGAAACCCCGATTTTTTGACTTATCGTTCACACTGGGGTAAGAGATAACGTCTTTGACACCTTCCGTCACTCGCTTCATTTCAGTCATTATCTCTTCCCTCGTCTTGCTCTTTGGTATGCCACCGACGAATAAGCGACAGTTGTCAACACTGAAACAGACCCCAATAGTTTTCCCTTTCCTGATCTCATAATTGTCCAATTCCTGTACTGCTCTTTTCGTGTCTTCCCGATTAGTGTATACGCAGAATCCATAACCCCTATTTGATCCGTTGAATTCCATCATCAAACGAAACATGTATATCGGACCGATTTGCTCAAAGACCGGAATCAGTTCATCCTCAAGGCAGTCTCTGGGTATCTTTCCAATAAACACTTCGCAACCTCTGGGAGGAGGGTCTGATTTCCAACCACGCGGCGGACCGTATCGACGCTGGCCGTTTTCTTGGACAATGGGACAGTTTATGAAATCCCGTGTTTTACCGATCCCTTCCTCGGGGGATAAAGCAGCAGCATTTTGGTTCCCTTGCTTTCCAAGGACACAAGTAGGAGAATTCATTGTAAATTGCTTCACCTGCCTACCAACAGCAATTACGTGATGTGACGAAATGGACGACGAGGTGGTCGCATCCCTTAGCTGCAGTGTATTTAGACTCGTGGTGACTTGATTAACATCTGTCAGAGGCAGGTCGACAATAACAAATCACGCCGAATGGTCAGTGGCTTACAGCTGTAGTTCAGTGTTTGTGTGCGATGCAGCCGAAACTACATGCACATGGTGCAAGCAGTAGGACTCACCCGCTACTGAACCTTGTTCGCACGCTGATTGGAGCTTAAGCACAGACTGTGCACCTTGTTGTCAAATTAGCGTGTGCAAATTATGTTCACTCGTGTGAACCAAATGTAAAGTGCGTTTCGGTTGTGTTCTGTCAACTTTATAAAACAAAACCGACACTACCTATTAGGAAGGAAGTTTCTGGTACGAACAGATCATCAGTCACTTCGTTGGATACAGAATTTCAGAGACCCCGAGGGACAGATCGCCAGATGACAGGAACAACTTCAGGAGTATGATTTTGAGTGCAGACACCGACCTGGTGCACAGCATGCCAACGCGGACGCTCTTTCCAGACTTTCTACTCGTGCTCATGGAGACTGCCCGTCTTGTAGTACACAACACGTAGCTCTAGTTAACCTTCAAAGTTCGGAGTACGGTCGCTGGCAGGAGGCACAGGCAGCAGATCCAGACGTATCACCGATCTATGACAAACGGCTGTTGGGGAGCGACAAACCTACCGCGAAGGAAATGGAGGGAAAAAGTTACGAAGCTCGATGCTTATGGGCGATGTGGGACAAGCTCTCTATCGAGGATGGTGTGCTAGTGTTTGATTTTGGCCCAAGCTATATCAGGAGAATCGTAGTTCCGCGATCATTAGTTTCCGAAGTGCTATCTAAACTGCACGAACAGCTGGGTCATGCTGGAATCAACAAAATGGAAGCGGCAGCACGTCAACGTTTTTGGTGGCCACACCAACGGAGAGACGTCACTAACTTTTGCCAGACGTGTGAGACATGCGCCACATTCAAGAACCCGACAATCACCAGGAGAGCACCATTGCAGCCTATGAATGCAGGCTACCCGAACGAGATTGTGGGAGTAGATCTTGTTGGTCCCCTACCAGAAACATCACGTGGCCATCGGTACATCTTGGTCATGGTCGACTATTTCACCAAGTGGTGCGAAGCAGTTCCGATCGCCCAAGCCGATACAGTCACCGTAGCAAAGGCGGTGGTAAATCACTGGGTGTGTCACTGGGGAGCACCGGGGCAGCTACATTCTGATAGGGGCTCATGTTTCGAGAGTTTGCTGGTTCAGGAACTTTGTCGTGTGTTCGGTATAGACAAGACGCGAACGACTGCTTACCACCCGCAAGGCAACGGACAAGTTGAGCGTACAAACCGGTCGCTGAAATCGCTACTGAAGGCCTTTGTGGAGCAAAATGTAAGTGAGTGGGACGCTATGTTTCCAAAATGCTTGCTGGCATATCGAAGCACAGTGCACGCTTCGACTGGTCAAACACCATCTTTTATGTGGACCGGAAGAGAAGTCCGATTACCGTCTGACATCCGATTACCCAGTCCGCAACAGCCACATTCATCGGTGACAGAGTATGTTAGCAGACTCCTTGATTCGCTTCATCAAACACATCAAGCGGCACGTATTCACCTTGGGAACGCCCATCGACGACAGAAAGACTATTACGACAAGAAAGTTTTCGGCGCTCCTTTAAAGGCTGGCGACCAAGTTTACTTGCACCAGGTACCAACGGCAGGCGTTCCGGTTAAGCTACACCATGAGTGGACTGGACCGTACATAATACAGCGGGTGATAGCGGATGTGACATGTGTTATCAAAGATCCCAACAACCCTGCCAGTCAACCCATGACAGTACATTTCAATCGACTCAAGCCATTCCGGAGTAAAACTGACCAATCTGTCGGGGGCCGAACGAAACGCCTGGGGAAGTAGCAGTTGAACTGGAGGTGCCGCCTCAGGGCGGCTATGGGGTGGCAACGGGGACGTTGCCTGCTTAGAGGGGGTGTGGTGTAGAGAAGAATCGATATTGTTTTGGCGCGCGTTCAAAGTTGAATCGTTGCTATAACGGCACTCTCTCCCGTTTGCCTTTCAGAGTGCCTTTCCTGCTCCATTACCGGAGGAGAACAAGAACACGACATTGGTTAACTGTAACTTCCCTTGTTCCAATTTACTTCATGTTTATTACCTTTTGTAGAGGCTACGTGTTGTGTAATAGAACTTCGTTCTCAGCCCTTGGAGTTCTTCCGTGCTTGCGTGTTACAAAAGGTTTTACACAGATAATATAAATGGCGGGACATTAATTGCCTTTGATAGCCTTACGAATTTTTTGTTTAGCAAAAGCAAATTTCGGTCATTGCCCACAACAAATTGTACGTACCTACTCTCTCAAACTTTTAGAAATACTGCATTTTTGTGTGAAAACTTTGATCCTGTTTCCTTTGATTTTGGAGACGAAGATGCATGTGAAAATGTCATATTTTTATATGTTACATACCAAAGATGAGAGCAGGACACCAACTCTATTGCATGAATGTACTGCTGGAATCTGAAGGTGCATACCCCATATTCCACCAGTCCTCAGAATAGAAAAATGCCTCTTTTAGTTTTTGCATCATTGCTAAGAATGAAAAGGCCAGCTATCACAAATAATGACGGCACTGTTGAACCATGAGGTACATACAGTATATGCAATTACTGAAGATTATCAAAATATATGCCGACTTATTTGCAAGAGAAGGTAAAAATCATGCCATGCGTTGTTGTTTAATGTAGCAAACAATTGCATTGTTTTGGACAAGAAAAATTAAATAGCTTTTGTTACAACATGGCGCGTCAGTCAGAAACCGATTAAAATATTTGCACAATACAAGTATATTTAAATTATCCTTAGGGAATTGTGTGTACCTAGGCAAATATCCCTTGCAGTTTGCTGCATGTGTAGACACTTGTTGACAACTGTATCTAAGTCAAACATCCAAGTATTGAAAGCGTAACAGCATACTATTGCAAATAAATCGCTTATATATAAGTTCAGCTGTTTGTATCGAATGCTATTATGTTAACTATCAGTTGTATATATTCTGTGTGTTTAGTGAAATACGTATCTTAATTTAAATGCAGACAGTAAAATAATTGTAACTAAGCCATATGTTTGTCAGTATTTATAAGTTCATGATTCAAAAACATGAAATGTTTGTTTTCGATGCTCAGATGATTAGTAATATAACAAAGGAATGATGAAAACTATTTGATTTAGTGACATGTGTTGAGAGTACCTGCTCCCAACGCGTCTATTTTTATATAAGAACCCATGTAAAATTAGACTCTTTTATCAACAAAATATATGATATATAAGAAGCTCTCCTAAACAATGTTAATCAACCGTTTTACGGTGTACCTAGTTGCTAATTTGCCTTTTGTTCAAAAATCCTAGTCAAATCTATCAAAACAAATGATACGGATTTTCGTAATTGAGCTGTTTTTAACGTTGCATTTTATTGACAATTTGTCGGAGCTGACCGGCTCACACCATGCAAAACATTTGACCTGCAACATATGGTCCATCCAAACACAAAATTTGGATTCGTATGCATGTCGATGCAGTAAATATGTAAATCTACGTACAACGATATATGTATATTTATTTACATATTGTAACCTTCCATGAGTGAAGAACTAACGTGCAATCTACCGAAAGTATTAGGTTACCACTTTAATTGAGTATATTATAACGAATTACTCAACATTAGAGCTAGCAAATAAGACACGAAAAGTTGGTGAACAAAACAGTAAATAAAGTTCATCAGCGGTACTATCTGAACAATCACCGTAGTAAATACAATTATAACTGGTAAGGTACTCTGATGCTGCAATATTGTAAAAAAACGACAAGTGCCTCAGGAGGAGCGAGTTTATTTTGAATTTTGAGTTTTTCCACCAAGGGTTATTTTGGGTGAAGTATTCAATTGTTTGGTTTGGTGTTTGCTGTTTGCTTTCACCCGGCTTCAAAGCCATATCAGCTTTCTAATTGCCTAAGCAATAATTTGGGACAGACAAATGCTATTTTCAATTAGAAAAGGTAACTTAATTCATGTAATATGGTTCAATTAAGACTGTAACTTATCATTACATAAATGGCTAAATGCAATATGACATGATTCGTTCAGTTAAATAAGCGAGAATTGAAACCTTCAAAGACTGCTCATAAGGACCACCTAAACTATTATGAAGCACAAACTCATCTGCGTCATATACATATTTTCACTCAAACTTCATGTCAACTAAAACCTAAGTTGATTTCAAAGCTAGGTAATTTCTTGCTTGTGCAAATATTTGTTATAATATTTGTTAATCGATTAATCCCTACATTACAAGCTGTTATTTCAATACACTTGAAGTTGATTAGAACCGTTTAATTGATCAGCTAACAACTGTAATTTGTTCTGGAAAGTAACTAGGTCATCTAAAAGATCACATACACTATAGGAGGTGAAATTTATCACGTGCTTTTCAGAATCGTTGTATATAAAATAAACAATTCTTGAAGTTACTTTAGAAAATACAGTGTGCCTATGATGGAATTATGTTTCAGTATCAAGACGTATTCGTCAATATATAAAAATGAAAACAGTTATGATTTTGAAACTTGAAAAATCTTATCATCTACAATTCTTGAAGTGTTTTGAATTTTACTTATCAGTTTTCTTTGTTATTTTGCAGACAACAGTTGATATGCCATGCATGCTTTTTATTATCAGGTCGCGTATTTTTTATATATGATAATTCATGCACCATCAGGGTTACCAAAGTTAATTTCTGGCACCACGTGGTATGGTAGTTATCGACCTTGATCAAAGCCATGTTTTAAGTATTCTGTACTAACGGTTATTCCTTTGCCTTCAGATAGTATTTTCCTACGGAAAATACCAGATTCCAGTTTTTAGATTTTTCTATTAATCTCC